CCTTACCTCTATGGTGCCAGGTTTACCAGCAGGATAGACTATGCTGTGTTATGCTGGTTAAGATCATTAAAGAACCCAGAGGGACAACTGGCATGTTGGATTGCTAAGATAGACCAGTATAATTATGATATTGAATACAGAGAAGGAAAATCTCATGGAAATGCCGATGGACTGAGCCGAATACCTTGCAAAAATGACTGCAGACATTGCTGCAAAAGAGAGGTTGAACTAACCAGGTGTCATGAAGCTGAAGTCAATGTGACTGAAGGAGTTGATAATGGTGTAGTGGAACCAGTTATAGATATTAAAGCAGAGCAGGAGAAAGATCAAGATTTGAATCCAATAATTGATTTTCTAAAAGCAAGTGTTTTGCACCCTGCTTGGGAGAAGGTGTCTAGCTTAAGCCCTGTGACAAAGAACTATTGGGCACAATGGAACCAGTTGAAGCTTGAAGATGTTATTCTTCTCTGGAGATGGGAAACTGCAGATTGGAAAGTGACGACCTGGCAAACAGTTATACTGAGAAAGTTACAGGAAGTTGTGCTGTGTCAATCCCATGATAGTTTAACAGAAGGACATCTTGGAGTTAAGAAGACATTGAGTCACCTACGGCAGAGATTTTACTGGATAGGTATGAGGCAAGATGTGGAAGAATGGTGCAGGACGTGCAGTACATGTTGTACTAAAAGGGGACCCAAGCATATTGGATGTGCTCCAATGAAGTTATATCAAGTTGGCGCACCAATGGAAAGAGTAGCCGTTGACATTGCTGGTCCATTGTTCCGAAGTCGTGCTGGAAACAGGTACATTTGTGTGGTGGTGGATTATTTCACCAAGTGGCCTGGGGCATATGCAATACCAAATCAGGAAGCTACAACTGTTGCTTCGGCTATTAGTGATTTCTTCTTCAGGTTTGGTATGCCATACAAACTGCATTCAGATCAAGCCCGTAACTTTGAATCATCTGTGTTCCATGAATGCTGCAAGTTGTTTGGCATATGAAAGACCAAGACAATGCCACTTCACCCGCAATCTGATGGGATGGTAGAAAAGTACAATTGGACAATAGGACAGGAACTGGCAAAGTTTTTTAATAGCCGCCAAGATGACTGGGATGTCTTACGTCCTCCACTGCTGATGGCCTATAGAACAGCAGAGCATGAAACCACTGGATACACTTCAGCAAAGCTGATGTTTGGTCGGGATCTTCGGTTGCCAGTGGACCTGATAACAGGATGCCCACCTTACGAAGAGTTGTCTGAAAATGTGCCAGAGTTCATGAAAATGTTATCTGAAAGGATGGATGATATTTATCATCAAGTGCATTCAAACTTAAAAACATCTGCTGATTCCATGAAGCTATGTTATGATAAGAGATCTACTGAAGTCAGCTTTGTGCCAGGAGACAAGGTGTGGTTGTATAATCCCAGGAAGACCAAAGGGAAGTCTCCTAAGTTGTCTACTCCATGGGAAGGCCCATATGACATAGTGGATCATCTCTCAGACATGACTTTATGAATAAAATGTGGTCGGTGAGGTAAGCCAAAGGTGGTGCATGCCAACAGGCTTTGGTGTTATAACGGTCCAGGACACTTCAGTTGGAACGAAGTGAACAACGGAACAAATGACTCTGCTGAAGACGTGTCACCTGAAAAAGCCACTGTCAGAGAAGAAACTCTATCTGGTTTAGATAAGGAAAACGGTGAAGCCGTTAATGAAGTTACTACCACTAATGTGACTGCTACTGATAATAGGACATTTCCTGATGGAGCAGATGAATCCCACGTGAAGCAAAAGCCAGTGAAACGGAGACCAGTACAAAAGAAGAAAATTAAGAGACTTTGTTGTATTTTTATTTTGTGTTTGTAAATTCTGTACATTTAATTAAGTTATTGTTAATTATCTATTGATTTAATGTAAGTGGCTATTGTTTGGGACGAACAATACTAAGGAAGGGGCAGTGTTACAACAGCAGAAGTCACGTGCTGCTGGGAGCATGCGTGCTGGAGTTTCTCGAAGGATCATGAATTTGCCCAGCAACTCTAGTCTGATCGAGATGCCCTCTTTTTAATATATAATCCTGGTGAGAAAAACCAGCGGGATTGGGCAGATATATAATTGAGTCAAGCGAACAGTTGGCACTGTAAGTAAAGTGTGTGAATCACTGTGATTTATAGAGTGTGTTATAAAGGTTGTTAAGTAAAGCGATGAGAAAATGTATTGACTGTGGAACTTCTGTTTATTACAAAGTTGATATCGAGGAAGAATAAACTGGGTTACTCAAGAAAGGACTTGTATTGCTGAAGTTTCTCGGAAAGAATTTATTCCGGAAATTAACAAACTAGCAAATACGTAACAATACGGTTTGCCTGTGTTTGTTCAATATTCAGATATAATACAGTTTGTGTTTGGTTAATGTTAAAACATAAGACACTTCTTCTGTGTTTGGTTAATATTCAGTGGTTCATTTTTGTGTAGGTCACGTGACAAATTTTTGTGATTACCACATATTTCGTCAACACATTTGTTTCACAAAAGTTTAGGAATACATCCTAGGACTTTTCTGATATTCACTTCTGAAGCTGTACACTGCTGTTTAACCATGAAAAACTGTGAGAAAAACAGGATATACTATGCTTTCATTGTTACAAGAGTTTTTCATCTGTATCATCCTAGATAGGTCAAAGCAAATGTATGTTGGAGAAGCCCCAAGTTTATCCTAAATAACTTTTGAATATTTAATGTCCGTAAAGTGTGAGCTGCATGTGTGTGTGTCAAGAAGACTAAATTACATATTAAACTAATAACACTAGGCCATAAAATGTCGTTCAAAGACTATACATGTGGAATTAATTCTGCTGCCACTGTGAAGGGAGTAAAATATCTATTTAAAATGATTGATGTTTTCTAGAAATATATTTCAAGTAATTACTGCTTATTTTTCTCCACATTTTACATTCTTGTCTTCTATACACTTGTAAGCAAGCTTAAGAAAGACTCCACATTTTACATTCTTGTTCTATACACTTGTAAGCAAGCTTAAGAAAGACTCCACATTTTACATTCTTGTCTTCTATACACTTGTAAGCAAGCTTAAGAAAGACTCCACATTTTACATTATTGTCTTCTATACACTTGTAAGCAAGCTTAAGAAAGACTCCACATTTTACATTATTGTCTTCTATACACTTGTAAGCAAGCTTAAGAAAGACTCCACATTTTACATTCTTGTCTTCTATACACTTGTAAACAAACTTAAGAGGAACTCTGCATTTTACATTCTTGTCTTCTATACACTTGTAAGCAAGCTTAAGAAAAACTCCACATTTTACATTTTAGTCTTCTATACATTTGTAAGCAAACTTGAGAAAAACTCCACATTTTACAGAAACTGTGTGGTTAAATAAAATAAGTGATAGACATACTCCTCACCAATCCCACCCCAAACCAAGTGTATAAGACAGCCTTATTAATATGTTTTTATTTTGAGTAATATTACTTGGTATGGAACTTGACAGTGGTAATGAAAATAAAACTTTGGATAGGTGGAAAATTATGTGGATTTATTTTACTGAGGATAACCTTTTCTCATTTATTATAGTAGGGATAACTTTTTCATTTATTTTAGTAGGGTAAGCTTTTTTTTATTTATTTATTACTAGTATAAAAGCCTGTCAAAAACAATGGGAAACCATTGTTGAATGATTAACAAAAATTTTAGAATTTAACTAAAACGAATTTGTCTGTACCTCCAAAATGCACCTACTCTTCACCTATTTCATCAGTCTCAAAATACCATATTTTTCGGAATATAAGACGCACCCTTATTTTGAAGACAAAGTTTTTGGGGAAAAAAGCTACAGTCGCATTTGAAAGATTTATTGAACAAAAATTCAATTGGATACTTTAAAAATTATAATATATTGTTCTAAACACAAAAGGGCTCAAAACATCAAAATAAGAAAATACCATAAATCAAAAAAAGGTTTACTGTTATTTAGTTTGGTTCAAAACCTACAAAATCTTCATTGCTTTCACTGTAATTTATTTTTTTATTATTTAGGGAGCATTATAAATAGTTATGTTTTTAAAAGAAGAAAAAAAACTACTATTGTTATAAATAACACATTCAATTGAACTAAACTATGCATGTCCATTTAAATATATTTACACATGGCTTGTGTATATGGTATATATACATATATATTATTCATACCTTCGGCGTATAGGATGCAAGCAGATTTTGACATCAAATTTTGGGGTAAAAAGTGCATCTTATACACCGAAAAATATGGTAAATCTTTAATCACTACATTTTTAGTAAAAACTATGCAGAAAAATGAAATGTTATCATGAACAAAGGTATGTGTGTGCACTCTGAAAGAGACTTAGATAGCACTCTTGAGCCTTTTCACTGTATTCTAGATCAGGAAGTAGAAACCAGTGCAAACATTCCGATACAAATTTTCAAATCTTTCGACTGTACAAAAGATAAAAGATATTTGGTAGTAATAAATGTTTATGTTATGTTTTAAGGCCAAGTAGATAATATATATGTGTTAAAACACCAAAATGATATTTATTAATTAACATTTATTCACTTAAAACTATTTAATCACTGACTATAACATTAGACCTATTTGTAATCTAATTTAATAAATGAACATAACATAAGGCTTAATTGAAACTCTGCTTGGTAAATTTTATTTTGCTTAAGACTAGAACTCAAACTTCTGAATGAAACTATTTTGCCACAGGTAGCAAAAAAAAATAATATATAACAAACCTTTCTCACAAGTCAACATGAATATTGAGCATTTAACATAAACACCATAGTTGACCTAAGATCAATCCAGTGATAGTTTTGTTGCTATGTGACAATGTATATTGTTGAGCATTACCAAAAAAAGGAACATGAAAGCATTCCCAACATAGTGACAAAATGAATAAGCCTTTTATAGTTAGTGATGTTAAAAATTAGTGCTAGTATAAGCCTAAGATTATATTGTATGCCTTTTCGTCCATTTATAGAATCTGATATTATCTGGGGATTACGAAGAACTACGGGTCTTTCCAGGTCCTTTAGTTAGGTATGGTCATTATAAATGATTTTTTTGTCTTTTATTTTATTCAAATTGAAAGCAACGCAGATGTTTTTAATTAGGTTTGAAAATTTTTACCCGACATTTTGTTGTTTGTTATTTCAAATTGTAAGAAATGGAAATGGAGAGTCAGTATTACTTAACTAGTCAACTACATTCAACACTTTAAAAAATTTTTTGTTGTAACATGAAGTTTGCCTAATAGGTAACAAACTTTGCATTATGACCAGCAAAGAAACCGAATAACATCAGCCAATGGTAACTCTGATTGGTTTATTCTTTGAAAGTCACCATGTGTTTAACACTAAAAAAATACATAATGTTCTGTTCAGTGGCATTCTTTGCTATTGATCTATATGATATTTTAAAGTTTAAATCTACACTTGTGTTTATATTGTGTATATTGCTACTTAATATGGATTTTTTGTATTGCCCTGTGAACAAAACCAGAGAGCTGAGCTAGCTTGAAAGCTGATTAAACAAACACAAACTCCGGAATGAAAGTGTTTTAAGGTGTATATAACAGTCTTTTGATCAAGTAATGAACGCTTGTTTGTTTAGATGTATTTTCTTTTGGCTTATTTTTTAATTAAGAAATAATAATACAGCATTATACTTGTATAACATGTTATGTCATTAAACTAAAATATTTGATGCATTTCCTTTAATTTTTTTTGCCATTACAGGGGCAGAACTCATAAGAATGATGTTATCCACTTTTGCCAGAGAAAGATTGATCACTTTAAAAGTATACAAGGCTTGGCTGATCGTGAATCTTTTATCCTTTTGTGGGAACTTCTTGTCCTAATTCTACGGCAAAATGGGGTTAGTAGTCCTAAACTTGATTGGTTTATAGAATATCGTGGAGACTTTTAACTTATTTTGCTTTATCTGATTGTTTTTTTAATATTATGTTTTGTATAAATTCATAGCTTTTCACAGGTTACGGAGGTAGTTTTCCAAACATAGTTCAAGTGTTTTCCTTTGGTTTACAAAGAGAAAACTAAATAATGTTCCAAAAGTTAATGGAGATGTAGTAACTTTTAGACAAGTTACAAATTTCTGAAAGTTATTGTTGCGATTCCGTGCTTGATTTTGAAGTATTATTTGATAGCCATCTAGTTTCACCTCATTACAGATGTGGCAATTTCAATTTTAAATGACAAAATCAAATAACTTTCTGTTGTACATGAACAAACTGAAGTGTTGTATGATATAATGAGCAAATTATTTGACTGTTGAGTGAAATTCCTTTATATATTTCTTGTAATACAGATATTTAACTTAAATATAATTTTTTATTTCTCCTGAGTATATTCTTTCACTTTTAAAAGAGATTATATTTCTGATAATGCAAATATTTTAACTATTATATATAATTATCTCTTGTAATGCAAATACTTTACTATTTTAAATATAATTTCTTTATGCTTCTCATGAGTATTTTCTGTTACTATTAACTACCTTTTTGTTTTACACTTACTCCTATGAGATGTATGTTTTTTGATCCATTCTGTTTGGGAAAGGAGCTTATGGTGCTATTTTTGTATTAATATCATTGGTGATTAAATATTAAGGATATTTTTCTACATATTCTTATATCTAGGCAGAATAAAACAAATATTTCATGTTTGTTCAACAATACATATTTTTTTAGAATAAGGCATCTAATTTAAAAGCTATAGTTTTATATGATATGGTACAAGCAGTTAATCAATTGATGTTATTATCATTGCATTTTTATATGTGGGGGTTATAGTTTTATATGATATGATGCAAGCAGTTAATCAACTGATGTTATTATCATTGCATTTTTATATGTGGGGTTGTTTTGTTTTTTTCTTCTACTTAACATATACATTTAGCTACTACAACTTAAAAACTGAGTTTCTTTGTACAGTGTGGATACAATTTTGTTGAATTTTAAGGTAAGACATTTAACAAATGAAGAAATGTGACATTATTAAAATAAATTTGAAATTAATATCTTTTTTATGATTGTTGTTGATGTTCAGAAGTACACGAAGAATAATTTATCTTTATTTTTTAATATCTAATTGTTTTATGATTTATTTGTTCAGAGCATTGTAGGAAGTGACATAGCTGAACTGCTATTAGCAAACCATGAAATACTGAAATCTAAACAGACAATGGAACAAAGTACAAACTTTAGTCCACAAGAAGAACTTAGTCCAGAAATTCGAGGAACAGCAGAAACTTCTCCGGATGAAGGAATCGTTGTTGCTCAAGACCGAACATTGCTGAACTCATCTAGAACATTGGTTGTCGAAGATGTAACAAGAAAGTTTCGAGAATTTTTGCTCTTTGGAAACAAAAAGGTGATATATGTAATGTTATCAACTAAACATATTTTAACTAATAAGTGATGATATTCACACTCTTCTTGTCCATTAAAATATGTAGTACAACTTGCAACAAAAAAATCACAAAGCTCTAATAATGAAAACAATCAGTTAAAAATACTTGAAATCTTTATACTGGATTTACATATTTATTTATTTATTCAGAACAAAAAGAATGTAGTTAATTAAAGATTAACGAGCATATTTTCAGATACAGTTCTAGCAATGGCTTCTTTTGTTAGACCCTTATCTTTTAAATTCTTTTGTAATAATTTAAAATATTTTACTTCTTTGTATTTTTAAGTTATAAACTGTTTTAGTAGAAATAATATTTTTTAGTATCAACAGATGCTGGCTTGAAAGCAGGTGAAATCCGATGGAAAATCATGTGATAAAATAAATTTTATGATGATAGTTTCTAATTTTCTGTTAGGACGTAATATTTAATTGCCAAATATTTGTTTGTTTTTTTCGTACTGAAACAGGACTCATTGGAATGGGCTATGAAGCATGGTCTCTGGGGTCATGCTTTGTTTTTAGCCTCCAAAATGGATAGCAGAACCTATGGCACTGTGATGACAAGGTTTGCAAATTCTCTCACTTTGAATGACCCTTTACAAACATTGTATCAACTTATGTCTGGACGGCAACCTGCAGCTGTTACTGTAAGTGTTGGATGAGAAGTCATGCCTTTAAATTGTTTTTATAAGCACATTAGATTTTTTTAAAGAAAAGTATTATTGTATGGTAATTGTGGTATAATCTGTGGCTAAGGCCAGCTAAACCTCAGCATGTATATAGTTTTTTTTTTACTTAAAATGAAAATAGCTTTTGTGACATTAATACTGAAGAAAACATAAAATATTTATTTATTCAACTGAAAGGAATATCAATGTTCTGATTATAGATATAATTTAACACATTTAATCATCAGAAATGCTAAAGCTGGAAATAATTGTGGAGATTTTTTATTATAAAATTCTTCTTCATAATGGGCTAATCCAAAATGTATTGCACTTAAATTTCTTTTGTACACTTGTCTCTCAGTGGTCTTAGATGTAGGAAAAATAGATTTAATCTATTTTTCTTTAATCCTTTATGGATTGATTATGGAAAACCTTGTATTTTCAGGTTAAGTCATTTAAAAGAGAAATATCAAACATTGTTAATGATAAACATTTCATCTCTAACAGTGAATGTAGTTATTGGATAAACAGCAAAATAAGCCTAGTTAGCTAAAAGCCTAAGGCGTATAGACTGTTGTGTAGTGTAACATTTTCAGTTTTAATTGTGTTGGTTTAGTGAAAGATATACCTTTTTTTTACTTTTTCAATTTGAAAACCTTATTGTTTTAGAAAATATATGTTGTTCAGATTATTTCTAAGCATTTTGTTGTGTGGATAATTCATAAAATGTATTTAATGTTTTTGCATTATTGTAAAATATGATATAGATTAACATTGAAGGGTTTTGTTCAGTGTGTTGCAGAGGAAAGATGGGGAGATTGGAGACCTCATCTTGCCATGATTCTGTCCAACCCATCACAACGTCCTGACTTGGACCAGAGGAGTATCACCACTCTTGGAGATACTTTAGGTAGTTTCTTTTGTCAAAACTTACGAGAAACTATTTAATTTATTTTTTCTAACTGGGGAAGAAATATTTCTTTTTGGGATTTTGTGGTCTAGTTTTTGAATTTTAGGGTATATTTTAGTTTGTTCTTGGTTTATGTAGGGAGTCAAGGTTGTCTTGCTGCTGCTCATTTCTGTTATTTGATGGCCCAAACTGACTTTGGCATTTTTTCTCAGAAGTCTAGTAAACTGATTCTACTTGGAGCTAACCACATGTAAGTAACACTTATTATTGACATTCATCGTTGCAATATTCATGTCATGAGCTTGAAAACAAATGGTACACAGAATATAATTTAACACATTCACTCTATTAGTTAAATCACACTGTTTTGAACCTGTGACTGAATGATATCTTGATATTATTTTTTACCAAATAATATGGAAAACATTTAAAATGTAGATAATTTTATATGAAGTAAAAAATAACGACATATTTATGTTTCTTAGCACAAATAAACACACACAAGTGAATATTGAAAAAAAGTAATTATGTTTGACACTTAAGCATAGTTGGTGCATTATAAGAGTGATGGTCAAATCCATTATGCGATAAGAGTAGCCCAAAGTTGGCAATGGGTGCTTTTGACTACTAAGTAACCTACCCTCTAGTGTATCAATTCTAACTTAGGGACAGCTAGTGTAGATAGCCATTTGATATGTAATTTTGTTTGAATATTCAAAACAATTAATTAGTTGAGCTCAGTTGGATAATTTCTTTATTATTAATAGAAGTAAAGCTAAATAGAGCTGAGAATTCAGCCAAAGATTTATTTTACAGAAACAACATTATAATGCAAATTAATTAAAAAGCTTTCTGCAGTTTCTATAAACAGGCAAAAAAATTCACATAGAATTATTTTAACCCTACAGACATTAGCATCAATTATTAGTTTATGATTTACATAAGGTGCATAGTTGTTATAGTTGTAAGAAAGTTGGTTAGAAAGTTAGCATCAGTTACCACTTTATGATCTAGATAAACTGCATAATTGTTGTAGTTGTTAGGAAGTTAGCATCAGTTATCAGTTTACGATCTAGATAAACTGCGTAGTTGTTAGGAAATTAGCGTCAGTTACCAGTTTATTATCTAGACAAGATGCATAACTGTTGTTAGGAAGTTAACATCAGTTACCAATTTATGATCTAGATAAACTGCATAGTTGTTGTAGTTGTTACGAAATTAGCATCAGTTATCAGTTTATGATCTAGATAAACTGCATAGTTGTTAGGAAGTTAGCATCAGTTATCAGTTTATGATCTAGATAAGCTGTGCCATTGTTGCAGTTAATATGTTTGTTATGAAGTGTGAGCTTTTAATCTGATCAGAAACAAACCTCAGTAGATGTTTAATTTCTTCAGATTAATAATGATACTTGCATCATTGTTATATTCAAAATTATAATAATAATACAGTGTCATATATTATATTTTAATGAGTGAAAGACAGAATTTAATTTTTTGGGTTGATGTGCAAATTTCACCCCCATAGGCTGTCGTTCAGCGAGTTTGCTTCTAATGAAGCCATACAGTGTACAGAGATCTTTGAATATGGCATGTCACTAGGGACACAAGGCTATGTACTACCACACCTACAGGTACGAAAAGAACTTATTAGTAATATCTTAAGGACCAGAGTAGAAATATTTCAACTTTTAAATTGTACTAAGTCATTATTGATCTAAAATACAATGATTATATTTATTTATTACAGGCCTACAAGTTTCTCTATGCTACCTGTTTGGTGGACTCTGGACTTTTGGAGGAGGTGAATAATATTCAGACTCTGTACATTTTTATGAGTTATTGTCCAATAGTGGTAAACTTATTTTTGATGTGTTATGACCTGCAAAGATATGTTGTTTTTATAAACATCTTATCATAATTGTGATACCTTAGAGTTCTTTTTGCTTGTAAGTTAACAGTTTCAGTGTTGTAGTTATCTTTGTTTTTGGCCCAGCATGGCCAGGTGGTTAGGGTGCTCGACTCGTAATCAGAGGGTCGTGGGTTCGAATCCTCGTTACACCAAACATGTTCGCCCTTTCAGCCGTGGGGGCATTATAATGTGACAGTCAATCCCACTATTCATTGATAAAAGAGTAGCCCAAGAGTTGGCAGTGGGTGGTGATGACTAGCTGCCTTCCCTCTAGTCTTACACTGCTAAATTAGGGACGGCTTGCGCAGATAGCCCTGTTGTAGCTTTGCGTGAAATTCAAACAAAACTAAATCTTTGTTTTTTTGTTTACCATGTAAAACCCGAGCACTTTGGAATAAAATATCTTAACTATTTTTACTTACTATAGAGTAATTAATGTTTGTTTAGCTAGTGAAATCTCGATTACTAGTGAAGTTTTAAAAATTGTAATAGATCATAGTTTCTCAGTAGATCAGTTCTGTTGCATCACTCTAGAAGACTTGATTTATGTATGATATGCATTTCATACGTGGTTTGTAAATCTTTCCAGAGCTACTTTTGCAATTCTAAGCACACAAAAAATGTCTCATGTTCATAAAGCCATTGATAATTAAATTATAAATTTGTTTGTGTAGTCTCACTGTAGTGGATGCTTGCGTACAAGTTCATAATACACCTATCTGTAATTGTGTTGTTTTTTTTTTTATTGTCGATCTTTTTCAGATCATTTTGACTCTGCCATGATGTTAAAATACAACTATAAGCACAAGTTCTTGAATTTTAGTTAGTTTAAAATTATTATTTTGTGTTTTATTAACAATTTATTGATGCTGTTTTTGATAGCTTGATTGATAAGATTTATTTAAAGCACATAAAAATTATTCAACCATGTGAATGTATACATGGACTTTCACTTTTATTATAATTTTAATGAACTACATTTATAATTGTTGTACACTTTTTCACAAATTTTAGGTTTTGATACCTTTGAGGGGAAGAGCACAGTTACCCATGGTGTAGCTTTATGCTTAACTAAAACAGTTCTTCATGGTGATGGTTGATGAACTCTAGTGAAACAAGGTTTAGTACTCATACTGATGAATAACATTTTATAATACATGTATACATTAAAAAGTTTGATCATCAATAACCTTTATCTTTCAGGCCTTACACTACTGTGAAGTTATAAGTGAGACTGTTATAAAAATGCCTCAGATGTATTCATCCACACTGGTTTCCCAAGTCTATGAGGTATGGTTGATCTTGTTTCATTACTTATGATATTTGTCTGTAGTATCACTGACCATTCTATACTTGCTTTACTGCTTGACACCTCAAACAAGTAAATTATCTTTAGTTTTTACATAGTCTATATCAGTGGTTCTCAACCTGGGGTCTGCAAAGGTAATACTGGTTGTTCAAGAGTTAATTTCTTTTACTAAATATTGCACAGAAGGACACAGAATAATAACACCTAAAAAGCTCATCAATGCATTCTCGTGGGAAAAATTTGGAACATTGTATGAACAAAGCCACATCAACCATCTCATTAAACAAGTAATTTTTCTTTAATACTGCTATTCTATTAATTTCACACTCGGTTATATATGTATATTATTTGATGTTGAAAAATGGAAAAACAATTCATTATTAATTAATAAAAACAGTTTTTTGGGTAGATGGAATCTGTCAAAAACATGGGATCTGTGGGGAAAACAATAATAATAAAAGGGGTCCTTGGTGGGAACCACTGGTCTATGTGCTTATTCACTTTTTTTATTTTCTAGAATTAACATATTAAATTAGTCTGCTACCACATCTTGACCATTGCCATACATTGTGAATAATCTATTGACAGTTTTGGGCTAAAGATTTTTTGGTGAAAATATCGTGCTTGATGTTGATATTTGAGTTTTTATATTTTTCATCATCTTTCCTGCTCTCTATGTCCACATTATATTTGTTATCCATGAAGTGAAAGTTAATTCCTAATTAATCAGCATTCCAACTAAGCCAACTTTAGCCTCACTCTGGCTGTAAAACTTAGAAGTTTAAAAAGTTAGATTTACATAGATCATAGATTTACATTGAATAGTAAGCCTTAACAATAATAATATCTGGTTATAAGGGTAGGTTATAAAATAATACTTTATTTACATTGTACTTACTTCAAATTGTGACTAACTTTGACTATATATATATATTTCTTAGATAAGTAAGACTGATTACATCATTGACATAAAACATGTTTTTATTAACACAACTTTTTGCCAACAGCAGCAACCTTCAAGCTGAAAAAGTTAACGTTACGCAACATGCATTTAAACAAGGTGTCACTTATTACATGTGTATATAGTTATTTATTTTTTAAGAACCTATTAAAGTATAGTTTAGTTCACATGAAATTTGTAATTACATGAGATTAAAAGAGAACTTCAAAACCAGAGATGACTGACAACAGTCACAGAAGGATAAAACGTCACTCTCATAAAAAATTATTTCTCGTCAATAACATAAGTAGTCATTTAAAAAAGTCATTTCTCTTGACTGTGAAAAATAAGTACGTTTATGGTGTTTAACTTTTTCCAAAAATTTTCCATATGATTCTTATACAGAGATTTTTTTAACATTTTAGACCACGAATTTGATTCAAAATTACATTAAACAATAAAATTAATAAGGTAAACTTTATACATACACAATTACGAGAAAACAGTAAGCATATATGTAACAATGACATAGCATGCTACTTTGCAAAAAGTACTTAATCCAACAAAGTTATGGTATTAGCACAGTTAAAAATCCTAAAGTTTTAAAATTGTTTTTGTCAAAATGTTTCCACATTTTTTACCTGTTGGATCTTTCTAAAACCATTTTTGGATGCAAAAAAATGAGGTGTGTGTGTGTTTGTTAATACAGTTATTCACACAACAAGACCAAAAGCAAAATGTTATCTTTATGACATAAAAGCCAGAAATGTAAAACTAGGGTACAAGCCACATTATGGAAAGGTTAAAATGTTAAGAGAAATATCTGCATAAGTAGGACCCACGTATGGTAAGGATACACTGTGTATCATCTCTAACCTCTGTTCACAAGCCATACATTTATGATACACCATGTATCATATCTAATCTCTGTTCACTAACCTTACATTTAAGATACACCATGTATCATATCTAATCTCTGTTGACAAGCCATACATTTACGATACACCATGTATCATATCTAATCCCTGTTCACTAACCTTACATTTAAGATACACCATGTATCATATCTAATCTCTGTTCACTAACCTTACATTTACGATACACCATGTATCATATCTAATCTCTGTTCACTAACCTTACATTTAAGATACAACATGTATCATATCTAATCTCTGTTCACTAACCTTACATTTAAGATACAACATGTATCATATCTAATCTCTGTTCACTAACCTTACATTTAAGATACAACATGTATCATATCTAATCTCTGTTCACTAACCTTACATTTAAGATACAACATGTATCATATCTAAACTCTGTTCACTAACCTTACATTTAAGATACACCATGTATCACATCTAAACTCTGTTCACAAACCTTACACTTAAAACACGTGTATCACATCTAAATTCTGTTCACTATCGTTACATTTACAATACACCATGTATCACATCTAAACTCTGTTCACAAACCTTACACTTAAAATACGGGTATCATATTTAACCTCTGTTCACAAGCCTTACATGTAAAAGATAAAATACACTAAAGTATTAAAAACAACTGTGGATGGTCAAGTCGACATCACCATCCCATATTTACAACTATCAATCATTCTATGCTGCTGTTGTTCTTTCTTTGGCAAAAGAAAAAATTTATAATAATTCATATGATTTAAAGTTATATATATAATATTCAAGTGATTAAACTAAAGCTGTAACTGTGGTACCTTAAGATAAAATAATGTATATAAATATTGTTGAAGCTTGCCAGCAAGCTGAAATATCATGATCCACATTATACCCAAGAACAAGGAGAATTTGAAGAGTTGAATGATCCTTTGTGGCTGATAAACTTGGCTAACTTACACCAAGCTTTTATGGTAAGTTGTTTTCTCATTGGTTTAAGTTAGGGAGCATTCTACTTTTGTGTTGAAGTAAGACCCATGCTGTGTAGTCACACTGTGAGTTTCATGAAAACATGCAAGTTTGTAGAAATGATTTGTATGATATTAGTGTTACTCCATCACAACCATAGCTTTATTAGCAAGCTAATTATAGTTTGTTTTACCTTGATGATAATTACAGCCTGTTCTAACTTGGTGATAATTACAGTCTGTTTTAACTTGGTGATAATTACAGCCTGTTTTAACTTGGTGATAATTACAGCATGTTTCAACTTGGTAATAATTACAGCATGTTTTAACTTGGTGATAATTACAGCATGTTTCAACTTGGTAATAATTACAGCATGTTTCAACTTGGTGATAATTACAGTCTGTTTCAACTTGGTGATAATTACAGCCTGTTTCAACTTGGTGATAATTACAGCCTGTTTCAACTTGGTGATAATTACAGCATGTTTTAAATTGGTGATAATTACAGCATGTTTTAAATTGGTGATAATTACAGCCTGTTTTAAATTGGTGATAATTACAGCATGTTTCAACTTGGTGATAATTACAGCATGTTTCAACTTGGTGATATTCACAGTGTAACCACTTTTGATTCTACATGTTATATTTTGTGTGAAATGTAGAGCATAGATGTTTGGTGTTTGATCAAAGGTACAGTTTTGTTCCATCTTTCTAATAAAAACCAACACTAATCTTGATACCATTTTTAGATATGTCTTAGGCACATAATAAACATGCTTAATGTACAAATTGGGTGAAAAAAAAGCTTATAGGAAGGCTAGTTGCAGCTATGTTAGCTTTTAAAAAAAATTAAAAAGGTATTACAGTTCAATAAATTGTACTTATCTATCTTACATGGGTTGTTTGCTATAAATTAATGATCAAATGTAAATACCGAAACATTTTCTTCTTTATATAATTTTCCTTTTTGCTTTCACTTTTAAAATACAAAAAAAATTCTCTCAAGTTGAGAATAATTTAGTTTCCAATATTTGTTTTTTTTTTCTCCACTTTGCTCAGAGTACTACAGTATTACCCAACTATTCACTAGCCAGTACAACAGATGATATGATAGAAGCTCCACCTGTTGGTGATGTTACTGGTAAGTGCTGCAGGTTATGGTTACTAAGTTATAGAAACATGGTGCTAAGTAGTGAAACACTGAATAGAAAACAAAGAGATGTGAGACTTGTGACATCTCAACTGTATTGTTGTATACAGTGTTGAAACTATTGAAGAAAATGTTGAATTTTGATGGAAATTCCATCATAAAAATGGGCATAAAATGTTTCTAACCATGTGTTTTTAATAAATTGTACTAGTATTAACAAAAGCTTTACTGGTGGTAATTACCAGCCACTAATAATCATCTACCATCAACATAGTGTATTATTAAATATTATCCTACTGTGATATATATAATATCATGATTTCAATGACTTAGCTGAGCTGATAGGGTTCCTTTTCATGGAATAAATTCTTACTACTTGATGTGTATTTATGAACTGCATGTGTCACAAGCCTAAGGGTTGTGTGTGTTATCCTGATTTTGTTTTAGCTGTGTGGGATATTTGTCATAACGCTGTTAATCAAGTTAAGCTATCTGAACACATCAACACATGGAGCTTATTATGTATGTTGGGAGAGAATATTGGATCATTAGTAATTCACCTGATTTAAATGGTTAAGAAAATCTTGATTCACTCCCCTAACTGACCATCTGACATTCACGGTGATGGTTGGTCAGTAGACTTAACCAAGGTTTTGCAGCTATTCAAAAGAAGTATTTGTGGCCATGTAAGAAAAACTTATATTATTTTACACATTACAGTTTTAAGATGCTTGTGTAAATGAAGCTTTATTGCATTATGTGACATTTTATTGTGTTAGGAAGTTGTATAAGGAAAGTTTTATTCAATTTTCAGATGTTAAGTGTTTATAATGCGGAAGAAAGATTTATATGAGCTAGCATAAAATACCTACAATCTCTTGTGGGATTCAAAGGATCCTTCATGATTCACAAAGGCCACAGAGCACCAGTCAAGTTCCTTCATTGTCCCCAATTACTTCTATAGTTTCCCTAAAAAGAAAATCTTATTATGATACCTTGCTTTGATGTTTGAGCACATGTACCCCTAGAGTCCCAAGGAGCCAGGAACACAAAATTTGATGCCATATCCGAGTCGAGTGACCCTACAAACCTACATCTACATAACATCATACCTAGGTGATGTTTAACAATAAAAAAATGTTCTTATTATATTTCAGCATCATAATTCAAATGGAGTACAAAATGATAAAGCTTGCTTTTCACAAACTGTAAAACTAATTAATTGCAAGTGAATTTGTTTCAAACACATTTTTGTTTTGTAAATATCACCAGAACAGAAAAATGATGTGTTTATATTAGTAGCTTACAAGTTCTCAAAACAAGAAATAGGCATTTACATCACAAACAAAGTTGAGAAATGAAGATTGGCTAAAAATCAATAAATTACACTTTTATACAAGTTATAAGGCCTTATAATAACTCAATGGTTTGCATTAATTTGCTCAAAACTATTATGACTTTCCTCCTAGGGGCCATGAGTGCCGTATTATGCTCAGACACAAAAAATATGCAGGAACATCTCAAATGTTAACGATTTTTGTTGGGAGTAAGCTAAAATCAATCCAAAATAATAATAATAAGATATTTTTTTTTATGTATACAATTAAATAAATAAAACTTTTTATTGAATAAGTTTCAACTGAAGCATTCCTTTTAATGTGTGGGAAAAGAATGCAAGTTTATTTTCTATAGTTCTTTAATTCAGTGATTGAACTTTGCCAGAGTAGTGGACTGCACTCATCTGGACATGAGAGCTAATATAGTATGATATTTTATGGTGTTAAGATAATAATTGTACAGAGAAAGCTTTATGCTATTGTACAGCACGAAGATACACATATAAAGAAATCTTTTATATGACATTTTAGAGTATTAAGTGTTCATAAAAGCTAAGTATTAACCAGGTAACTTGTCTTTGGTTACTTGCTAAACATTTAAGATGTTTGTGGTTATCAGAAGAAAGCATTTGTAAATATTTCTGCTATACAGATAGCACAAGTATTTACAGTGGAGCTGTGAGTCAAGAAGGTTACCAAAACTATGCACCTGAGGAGCAAAGTTCTATGCACGTTACGAACTATGATACACTGGAGCACTCAAGTAGGTTTTAAATTTTAGTTTATGTAAACACGTTGAATTAATACATGATGATCAATTGATAAAATGTTTGAACAGTACCTAAGTTGTGCATGAGATTTTAAAATTGTTGAATAAACTAGTATAAACATCTTTTTCTTTTGTATGCAAGTCCATGATTCTTTGGTTAATGAAGATTCTAATTTCTTGTTAGTCTCAGTACGAGCTGAAAAAAAGTTGTCATAAAGAATGAAAAATTCAAACAAGTCACAACTTGATCATCATAAGACCTAAAAATAGAAAAGAGATAGCCAGTTATTCAGATTAACATAAAAATCTCGAGAAATCCCATTAAGGGTTTGAGATGGTAGCAAGTGTAATAAACAAACCTACCAAGAAGTTGGGAATCAAATCTTGGTTAGCTATTGCAATGAATGTGTTTGTTTTACATAACCTCCTTAATCAAGTCTATTGTATGTAATAATAGTAAGCTCTTACTAATTTTTTTTTTTTAATTATCTCTAACACATTAGAAAAAAAAAAGTTTTCAGTTGCCCCATTCATCTAAATGATAGCTTTGATTGGTTGCAATCAACTCATATTCCAAAAAAGGGATAAATTGTTTCTTAAATTAATAGAGTAGATTATATATACCAGCCACAGAAAGTATTTCTTTTTAGAATCTAATGAACATATTCTGGATACCAAAATGTGAAATTGTGTGTACTACTTTTTACTAAGGACAAAAATATCTATTTCTGAAGTCGAAGTCTTTGGAAAAATTCAATATTCTGTAAAAACTGTCTAGAAATAAATTTAAACTTTCATATTGTTGTTTAAAATGAAAAATATCATTTATCAAAGAATTTTTCTTTTCAGTGTCCTACAACCCTGGTCAATTTTCCTCAAACCAATGGTCCCAAAGCGCAGTCCCAGAGCAACAAGATACTAACAAGTACCGGGTGACCGATTCTGTGGTTACAGATTCTGCAGCTCAAGAAACTACTCCAGTGTTATCTACAGGGATGGGAACTTTTGACTACTATGGTGCAAGCACGCAACAGGTAATATGTTGGCCATTTATAAAACTGTAAAGCTGTTTGTAATGGACATGGAAACTAAAGACTCGCACAGTTGATCTCCAAGTAGACAGGGAAGTGTTATTAATTATTTGTTTGTCTTTTATTGTTGTTGACTTTTATTTAAAGCATGAGTATGTTATGTACAATTTTATTAAAGTTCAAATTGATACCTTCAGTTGTGTGCATAGTAATTCTTAGGATAATAACCACTCAGTTTCCTACTTAAAAAGAAAGATATATATATATATATATATATATGAAAGTTTAAATTAATTAAAAAACAAGATAATACTTACAAAAGTAAATAGCTAAGATAATCATAACCAACAGGCTTAAACTTTGATAAAGAGCAACTGAACTTGTGTGCAACTAAATGAACTTGTTACACTTATTAATCCTTTCATTTTTGTGGATATGTGTATGTGTGTGTGTGTGTGTGTGTGTATGTATATAAATATAACACAATGTTTAAATAATCTTTATTTAACTTTATTTTATTATATCTTTCTCATATAATGCCAAAGGAATGGTTTGTTGTTTGGGTAAATTCTAGCTGGTGCTATATTTATTAATTAATTATTTTATATATGTATATTTTTTTTGTAGAATGTAATTAAAAAATACGAGTTTGTTGTACTTGCAAAAAGCATGTTATAAATCTTAATTTCATTGCTAGATTTTTATCCATTTTGCATCTATATAAAGAAATGCCTTGCTTGTTGTGTGGAGTATTTCTGTTTTCAAAACTTGTTTATCGTAAATACAAAAAAAAAAATCCTCACTTTTCACTAAAGATTGTTGGGGGTTTTTCCACTAAATTTGCATTTTGTGTTTAGTAATTTTGTGTGATTTGTCTTCACATCCAGTAAAAAATTGCAATACTGAATCTTTTTGTTAGTTAAATCTGTGCAAGAGGTTCTAAATTTAATTTTGCTAGATTATATAACATTTTTAATTGCATTCTTCAAAGAAGATGTTAGGTTTCTGTTACTTACTAAATGTCATATGATAGTTTTTTGTTCCATCGTATTTGTACAGTTTTAAGGTTCAGTATTTCAATTCCTGAATTTTAAACAGGATTTAAAAAGAGTATTCTTTTTGTTGTAAAGAACTGATGTTTGTGAGAGAGAAAAAAGAACTCTTCAGAATGTGGTATAGTACCAGATCATGCATCACAAATTTATACTGTAATGTTACTAATTAAGGCATCTGTTATGTCATGTTTTTGGATGTATTTTATTTTTGGTACTGCAAGTGAATGTTTTACTTCCAGAATGCATGAGTTAAAAAGTAATTTAAAGAACTGAACATCAGAAAGTTTTTGTAATTGAAGCATTGCGTATTATAACTTGTTAAAGGTTAAGCTATCATCATTCAAGGCAAGCTGTTGTTAGGGTTAGAAGTGTCCAAATGTTTTTAATTTATTAAAAGAGCTATCAGTCAAACCACGTTTATTGTAAGGGTTAAGAATGCCCCCAAGTCTATAGCTTGTTGAAAGTTGAGGATGTAACTCAAAGCAATTTTTTTAGGGTTAAGAATATAACCTTAGAGCAGTTAACTTTCTCAGCACGAGCTTGGTCAACTTGACCAACCACCTGACCTTTTTGTACTCATTCAAAATCTTTATAGATTTAATACTTCTAACTTTCAATATAGTGTCTATATCTTCATGAAACTTAGCAGTCTTTAAGTTAATACGTCTTTCATTTACAAAAAATCATATTTTTTAGGGAAGTATTTTTAATAAACTAAAATAAAGATTTGTCCATGAATATATTGAGTATTTGTTTTGAATGGTCCATGTTCAAAGTAATTTTTACGATAAGAATAAAAATACTTTTCTTCATCTCAAAAATCTCAAATTTCCTTTGTGTAATCCCTAAAACCTCCTAAATACATTTCCATCATGTTTTTTGTCAGTAAAATTTTATATTTTATCTGTTATTATCTCTATCTCTATACAGAATCATTTTGACCAACCTCATAACCCCCACCCCAAAAAAAATTGAAATAAATCCAAACTATCCTTTTTTTTTCTAGAATGACTTCAAATTCTAACATTAAACTACATTCATTTATCCTAAATAGCTTTAAGCTCATAACAATGTATATCTTTTTATAAATAAATTTTTCTGTTTTATTGCCCTTTGAGCCATGTCTAACTACTATCCACACCATTATAAGTTGTAAGTCATTGGAGGACGTGCAGTTCACATTATGTTATCGGATTACATTACCTATGAGCTACTACGAGCTGCTCGCATGCATGCCTCGTGAAACATTTTATTATATTATTATTTGTTTTATCTAATCTTAATTAACCTAAAAAGTTCCCTATTTTTAGATTTTAGTTACTTTTATAATAATAAATAAAGAATGAATACCAAAAACAAGAAATAAGGTACTTACCCAATCTTCTTTTTTCTTGCTTTCGATTGTCGATGACACTTAACCCTATTTTTTATACTAATGGTAGTAATGCACTAAATAATTTTTATTTAATTAAATAATGCACCAAAGAACTTAGACTAATAGCATGCAAAAAGTAGAAAATTTTCTCTAACTCTCAATTCTTCTGGCTTTCTAACTATGGTACAAGAGCCATTACAAATTCATCCAAGTTAGTCATTACCATTCCTACGGGAATGAAAGCTGTACTACAAGTGAAATTGACAATTATTTGTTCAGAACACAACGTTATATAATACATCATTTGATAGATGAAAACCATGACTTTCTATTGGTTATAGGTAATATATAAGTAAATGTAAGAGAGAACTATTAACAACTCCTCACAGGTGGGTGTGGCAGGAGGGATCTGATTATCTATATGATAGCTCTGTAACCAAACAAAATTGAAGGCTGTAAAAATTATGGTTTGTTTAAGCAATGACAATTTTATAGTGAGTAATTTACTTTTAATTTTATAGTTACTAGAGGGGTAGTGGATAAAATAGAGAAAATGTGTCACACGTGGAGAAATTCAGGATTTTTTTAAATATTGCCTTATGGAATTAAGAACTTAAAACTTATATACTATTAAAATATGGGTTATTAATTAAGATTTTATGCTATGCTAATTGGTCTAAGATAAACAAAAAGTATTTTAATAAAAGTTTCAATGAAAGACACTAAAACCTTGTGTCATGCGCAGTAAAGGGTACCTTGGTTGAAAGTGTTAATCAAGCTTTTGTTAGGGTTAAAAATGTTCACAAGGTTATAATAATTTTTGAGGTTCCAAACTATACTATTAGAGCTGTTACTTAAGTCTGATTTTGGTGAAACATGAAGAATGTCCACTAGGTTGCAAGGAATGAAGTTCAGCACATAGAATGCTTTACATGAATTGGTTCTTATACTTAAGTTGCACGCTAGAAGTTTTTAAGACTCCAAAAATTATCTGATTTGCAATTGGTAAAATGAAAGTATTCTAAAAAATTCTCTCTCCTTTTTTCATTTCATCCTCATTTGGTTCAACTAGCTTGTTTTAAAAAAAACAAACAGAAGATCTAGCAATCTGTTTTTCGTTTTCTACATTTTGAATAGGCATTAGCAAGTGTACACCATCAAAATAGAAAAGAAAATCAAGTTTTTTAGTCTTCTAAATTACAGTTTTTGAATCAGGCCTATAAGAGATTGAACCTAGTTCAATGTGATTGAAGGCCAGCATTGTACTGATTATGCTAACAAACAGCAGGGAGGGTTACATGTATTACCCATTATAGAGGGTCTTAAACTCAATTCATAGTTATGTAGTATTTGATATTAACCATCAAATCACTGATATAAATATATATATATATATATATATTTTTTTTTTTCATAACATTCACTAGTAGTTGGGGGGGACCACATGTATCATATTGAATGATGTAATGTTTTTGTCCATTACAAGTTACAACACTCAGTGTAAAAAAACTGGTAAAAGAAATTACTCATTTTCTGTGTAAAATATTGGAGGAATTGCTCTTTTTCTGTGTAAAATACTGGAGAAATTACCCATTTTCTGTTTAAATACTGGAGAAATTACTCTCTTTTCTATGTAAAATACTGGAGAAATTACTCTCTTTTCTGTGTAAAATACTGGAGAAATTACTCTCTTTTCTATGTAAAATACTGGAGAAATTACTCTCTCTCTCTCTCTCTTCTTTTTTCTGTGTAAAATACTGGAGAAATTACTAATTTTCTATGTAAATTACCTAGGGACCCCCAGCAGTAATTAAAGCGATTAACATTAGTATAATTTTTGTTTACATTTTTTTTATATAACTAGTATTATTAATGTTACTTTAACCAACAAGCAATTTGGTGCATAGATAGTTTAGAAAAATACATTTAAAAAAGCTGATGGGGGTCCACATTGCCTCATCAGTGATTCTAGGGTTAAGTATACTTAAACACACAATTGCTTTTGAGTAATTAACTTAATCTGCATTTAACAGCATGATAAGCTGAGCTTGCTCATTTGTAATTACTATTCAGAAACAAACAGTCTTTATTTAAAAAAATAAATGTCTATATATATATATATATATATATATATATATATATATAT